TTTCCAATTGAGAAAAAATTGAATTTATAATTTGTGTGCTGTCTGTTTGTTGAGTTAATGGCTTATAGTAATATTTTTCGAACGTGTTTGCGTTCTGGTTCCAATTTGCATGTTGTTTAACTTCTTTTATTCCATGACCTTTTCCCACTGCTTTAATACTAGATGCTGCTCTGAAACTATGTGGTTTGTATATGTTGGTATCGATACCTGTTTTCTTCATTATCGTTGATAACCAACTGGCTACTGTTGCTGGTCTGATTGATGTGGATGGTTTGTGTTGATCTAAATATGTTAAGAAGAGTGTGTGATCCTCCGGAAGTTGTTCACGAATGTCCTTGGTTTTTTGTAGAAATAGATGTAAAGTAGTAGTCGGACACATTTCACTATGTTCAACAAGCCCGAACTGACTCGTCTTGACTTATGTTTCCTTTGCTTCAGTAAAATGTAACGTTGTGGCTTCCACTTTTTGTTCTTTGTAAGTTAGTTGGATATGTTGATGTTGTAGTCGTCCCAGATCTGAACGAGGGCGTCCCATGGTTGCCAAACACAAGAGTACTAAAGTTTTTAATTGTAAATTGTGTAAAGAAAGTTCATTACTGACTGGCCATGTTTTCTTGATGTAAACGCAGATTTGATCTGTATCCCAAGTCGTAAGCTGTTCTGGTTTTGGTATGAATATGTTTGTTTTTCGTTTAGCTGCAAAAAACTCTACTATTAAAGATTGTTCAGCTATCGGTTATTTATTTGGATGTTGTAATTTCCACACGGATGCTATGCTGGACCTTAGTCCATTTAAACTTTGTGCTGATAAGTGGCGGTTATCCATTAAGTAACGAAAAACACTGCCTTCGCTACATGCAAGCGGATCAATATTCGGTGTTTGTGTATCACACCATTGTTTCCATTTTCTCCAGCCTGAGTTGTAAGTTTTTACTGTTGCACTTCGATGTTTGTGTGCTAAAAATTCAATATCATCTTGGTTTAGACCATCACGCTTCCTTTTTTGGTTGATAAATTCCATCCTATCCTTTTCCACCTGTTATCTTGAACTCTATTGGTGGTGACAGTTGTTTCATCCTCAATAGCATGGGGAACCAATACTGGGTCTCCCACTGAGGTGTTATCAGTGTCGCTTGTGTGAGTTTCTGTTCCTTTATCTTGTGAATCACTTGAGGAATTAATTTCCACGGCGAAAATAGATACATTCCTTTTTTCGTCCACTGTTGTTGAAAAGCGTCCAACGCTGCTGCTTCCGGATCCGGACGGAAACTCCAAAATATTGGTAATTGGTGGTTTGTCCTCGAGGCGAAGGCGTCGATTGTCATCGGTCCCCAAAGTTGTTGAACTTTTCGGAATATCTTTTTCGGAATGGTCATTTCGTAGAGTGGTTTCCCTGTCTGTCTGCTCAGGCGATCTGCATCTATGTTCTCTTTCCCTGGTATATGTTGATAGTCTACTGTCAGGTTGTATGTATTGCAAAGCTCTTGTATTTGAACTGCCAGGTCTTGAAGAATCGGTGACGAGGTGCCGCCTGATTTGGTTACGAATTTTAGTGCGGTTATGTTGTCGGTATATATTTTTAGATGAGACTTTGAATTTTGCTGCGTGAAGTTGTAGTGCGAATAATATTGCTTTTAGCTCTCGTACGTTGATAGATTGGTTTTTCTCTTCTGTCGTCCAATAGCCCGTGGTTTGAAGTTCCTTTGATGTAACTCCCCATGCAGTATCCGACGCATCTACATGTATGATTAGTTGCGGTTGTGAACTCATCTTCGTGATTGGCAGTCCGTTCTTTTGTGTGATGTGTTCTGTCCACCATAATAGTTCCTGTTTGCTCTCCTTCGATCTGTAAAACTTTGAATTCCATTGATGAGAATGATTGCATAGGCTGGTTGCTAAATCCCTCTGTAGGTGTCTGATATGTAATAAGGCCTCTCCTACTGCAGGAATCATTGAAGTCATTTTGACCAGAAGACTCGCATACCATCTGCATGATCTGATCTCGGGTTGTAAGGCTTGTTTGATTCTCGAGATCAATTTGGTGATCTTCTTTGTCGGTACAGATATCGACATCTTCTTGATATTGAACTGGAAACCTAGAAATTTCTGTTGCTGTAATGGATTTAAGTTGCTCTTTTCTCTGTTGATAATGAGTCCTAGATTCTCCAGATGAGAAATCACCTGCGAACTGGCCTTGTTCATCTCTTCTTTTGATTTTGTTAATAAACATATGTCGCCTAAACAACAAACTAATCGGGTACCTTGTTTCCTGAGAGGTTCCGTCGCAAAACGCATCATTTTTGAGAAAACTCTTGGGCTTACTGACATCCCAAACACTAGTGTTTTGTATTGGTAAACCGCCCCATAATGCTGAAACGATAGATATTTGTGGGATTGTTGATGTAGTGGAACTACTACGTAAGCGTCCTTTAAGTCTATTTTGGCAATGTAATCGTTTGGTTCTACTAAATTTTTCAGTGCTGGTATCCCTTCCATTTTGAAATGATGGCACTGAATGAAGTTGTTGATTTGTTGACAGTCCAATATTGGTCGTCGTTTGTTTGGTTCTTGAATAGTGAAAAAATTCGACAGAAAGTTGGTGTTTTGTGTTGGTGGTACTTCGATTATTCCCGCATGTAGGAATTTGTCTACCGCCTCGTTCACTGCTAATTGTTCGATTTGGTTTAGTGATATTTTGCATAACTTCCATGGTGTGGGAACTGTATGAAATTGTATCTGGTATCCCTGTTGTACAACTGTTACTGGCCATTTGTGGTTGGTTATTCTCTTCCATTAGGTTGCAAAGTGTTGTAGCCTTCCTCCTGGTTGGATACCATCTTGGGGAATAGTATAGTGTAAGTTGTTGACAGTTAGTGTGAATGGAAGTGGCAAAGTTACTGCTTGTTCTGATGTTCGTTGTTGTTGTAGTACGTCTGGTGATTGGTTGATTATTGGCCTTGGAATAAAAAATGACCTCGTCCTCATGATCCTCTATAACCCCCTCTTGAGTTTCCATTCTTTCCTCTTGAGAATTGTCCATAACCTCGTCCTCTATTATTGTTAAAGGAATTTCTTTGAAGTAAGTCTCTTTCGAAGATGGCTTGGTGACACTGTTGCATAAATTCATCGCTAAAGGCGTTGTTTGATTTGCTGTCCTCTCTTTTTGGTAACAAATGTTGTACGCTGGCTGGCATGTTGAGAGCTTCTGCAGTGCGGATTTTGCTTCTCGTTCCTGAAGTTTCCCCTGTAAGAGTCCAAAGATTGCCAAACGATGGCTCTGTGTTTGAGCTCTGTTAAGGAGTGGCCTGGGGTCTTGTCCTCCTTCGATGATTTCGAGTACGTGAGTGAGTTGTTCGTAAATTTCAATGGCTGCTTTGGTTTGCTGTCTGGTAGTTTCTATAAGTTTATAAATTTCGTTAATGACTTTGTTGGCTCCAACTTTTCTTTTTTGGAGTTCGTTATAGAGATTTATTGATCCTTTCTGGAGTAAGCCATTCTTCACTATTGTATCGTTGCAGGTCACGTTTGAATCTTTTAATATTATCTTGACGTTGTATTTCTGTGCTGTTCTCCAATTCGGTAAGGATTTCCACTGGTATTGGTGCTCCATTCGATCTTTGTTCTTGTTCGGTTTGCATTCTTCGAGAGAACTCTTGATAGAGTTCTTCCATGCTAAATTCTGATAAAGGTGTGTTGATATTATTCATAGTTTGATCCACGAATGCGTGGCTTTTGAAGGTATAAAGAAGAAAGGGGAATATTTAGTTATTATTACTACTATATATTATTTTATTATAAATGGAAAATAAAGCGCGGCTCTTGGAGTCTGTACCACATTGAATGACGGAGCGGAGCCAACAAGGATTGTTGTAGGCACGACCAACAATTGAGAGTGAAAGCACAGTATGATGGGTGTGTATTGTTCGCAGACAAAAGTGATGATCTCTCTCGATTGTTTTATATAGTTGCTAAATAGCAAATTAAACTGCTCGTCCATGAAGGATACTTTATTATTTTTATTGAAAACAGTGATAAAGCAAGACATGTGACTGATTGAATAACATATTTTCATTTATGAACATGGCTGTAAACCCCCTATTCCCTCCAACAACAACAGTTGTAGAGAGAATGCTTAGCCCACAGCAACACACAAACCAAGATGAGACTATGTGGCACGTGACTGTCGGTCCTTTAATTACCAGAAGACCTACAAAAACCATCAAGGTTCATCCTCTTACTTGTTTCTTCCATCCATCCATCCATCGCTTTAAACCATGCTCTTATACACTGATATCATCTCTGGAGACGAATTATTCTCTGATGCTTTCGTATGTTACAGTTTTACAAAGATAAAATACGACTCTAACATAAATTTACCTTTTAGCCCATCACCGAAGTTGATGACATTGCCTACGAAGTTGACTGTAAGATGATCACTATCAACGAAGGTGATATCGACATTGGAGCAAACCCCTCTGCTGAAGGTGGTGAGGATGAAGGTGTCGAAAACACTGCCCAACAAGTCAACAACGTTATCTACACCTCTCGTCTTACTGAAACCTCTTTTGACAAGAAGTCCTACATGGTTTACATCAAGGGTTACATGAAAGCTGTCAAGAACAAGTTGCAAGAAACCAACCCTGAACGTGTTGCCGTTTTCGAACAAAAGGTCACTCCTTTCGTCAAGAAGATCCTTGCTAACTTCAAGGACTATGAATTCTACACTGGTGAATCCATGAACCCTGATGGTATGGTTGCTTTGTTGAACTACCGTGAAGATGGTGTTACTCCTTACTTCACCTTCTTCAAGGACGGTCTTAAGATCGAAAAGCTCTAAATTGTTACATTTGCATTCTTATTTTTGTTCCAAAGCTCTAATAAAAGCGTATTCTAATACATATACATTTATGCATGCTTTTCTTTATCAGTACTCTTTTATTGCATGTCCAGCATTAACCTATAGTTTTTCAAGGGATCACAATTTGCGGTTACTGAAACACCACCTTTCCCATCACCAACTTTTTATTGTTGGGAAAAAGGAACTTGGACCACTGTATATTTTAAGGCCTTGCTACATTGCTTAGATATGAGATCATTGACTTGATTGCCTACTTTGCTCAAATACTCACCAGCAAATCCCATTTATAAAGACTGCTCACCTCTTTCTTGCCGTCTTTTGTTCCTTGAATAAACTTGGTCTGTGCCAGCCCAAAAGATCATCCCCTATTAGGAAACTTTATGCAGAATTATGATTGGCTAAAATTTTTCATCCTGACTTTTTGTTTCCTTCATTCACAAAAAAATATAGGCGTGTTTCTTCAACCCTATTTGTCCCTTACTTTTCCCTTCCTTTCTTTTTTTTTCTTTTTTTTTTTTTTTTTCTGTTATGGCTCCTTTGCCGTTAAGGCCCCGTTCGTCAAGAATAAATACTGAAAACCGCACGCAAACGACATTAAGCAAGTTCCTGACGAGGGCCTCCTCAAAACTGCAAGCTCAGCAGAATGCAAGACAACAACAACAACAACAGCAGCAACTTCCACAACAGCAACAACAACAACAGCAGCAGCAGCAGCCAAAGAAGTCAATTATAGACTCAAAATCAAAGATACCAGAAAATAAAATATTAGAAGGTGTAGTTGCCTGTTTAGACGTTAGGTAATAATATGTACTTGATCACGTTGGTACATATTAATGTTCTTTTTTTTCTAGAACGGAAGATGGAGACGATGTATCCCAAAACTTTGAAAGAGCTTTGCAATCCATGGGCGCAAAGACACGTAGAACTTTTTCAGGTATGTGTATAGACATGTGCTAATTATCATAATCCATTCATACTCCTTATTAGATTCATGTACTCATTTGATCTTCAAAAACGGATCTCCTGCAACATTAAAAAAGGCGCTCAATAAGAATGTTTTCATAATCAACCTTTTATGGATTTCTAGATGCAAAAAAGAAGGAAGAAGATTATCAGAAAAGGAATTCATCATTGAACGGCCTCAGGGACTTGTGCTCGCAAGTAAAAAGAGACGAAAATCAATGGAACCAAGCAAAGTGAGAGCGTTAGGATCTAATGATCACCTTGAACCGTCAAGTAAAGGCTATAAACATACAACCTGTTTATGATTCTAACATTGTCTTTTTAATAGCCTCATCCTCTAGTGATGCATCCATCAACGACGACTTGTATGAATCGAATCAGCGTCTTGCAGAAGTACGACGGAAGACGATTGGTATTCCAAGTTGGAAACGACAGAGAATGGAGGACACTGGACTCGTTAAACGATACACTGAATCATTTGATAATGAAGAGTCTGAGGATGATATAAAGCGTACGACAAGATTATCTTTACCAATATCAGTAGAAAAGATGGCAACCAAACATCTGATGCCCTCAGCAAATAAATCCGTGCCTGTTGCGCCAAGTCCAGAAATGAAAGAGCATATCAAGGCAAGATTTTCATTTGGAAAAAAAGTAGAGGATGACACAGACACTAGTAAAGATCTTTTGCCATTTGTTCCTCTGGCGGCAAATAGCACAGCAATGTCTACAAGTGGCAGCACAGTGACTCCGATAAGACGAAAGAGAAGGTTGACGGGTAATACATTACCAAGACAGGACAATATACCATCATCATCCGCGTCCGTTGTGTCAACATCAACCTGGAATACTTCGTCAGAATCTCTTCCTATCAGTATACCAAAGCAAAGAAACGTATCAAGAAAGCCCAACATTGTATTTACAAGCTTAACATCTGATATGCGTCAGAAGTGTAAAGAAGCAATAGAAAGCCTTGGTATATATGATATAGTAGCAGAGTAAGTCTTCTTTTTCTTTTTAAACACTATGATGGTGTTCTGATGTATGTTATTAGGGTTGATGAAAGAACAACACACGTCATTGTTGGAACACCCAGACGAACAAAGACCGTGGCGTTTGGTTTACTGAAAGGACTATGGCTACTGAGTCCTGATTGGTTGCTTAAAAGCAAAGAAAAAGGAAAATATGAGCCAGAGGGAGATTATGAGCTACTAGAGTGGTATCCACGCGCAAACATTGCAAGAAAGGGGTTATCATTCATGCCATCTACTACGTCTATTAAGGTTGTATCGACAGTAAGTGGAAATGAATTGGTAGAACAGTTGATCAAGATGGCAGGTGGACAAGTGGTGAACAATATAGAAGATGCTCATATTATCATCAGTAATAAACCAGTGAATACAAAAAAGATTGTTGTAAGAGAGAATTGGATATACGAATCAATCGAGCAATGGAAATGTAAGTAATGAATATTTGCTTAATAATCCTTACTGACTTCTTTATTTTAGATCTTTCTACTGATAAGTTTGCAATTTAATATCATTCCTTCATGTATTTATAATCATACCTATTAATAAAACCCTATCCCTGCCCCGCATTGTACAAAAAGCATACGAATAAACTATGTCTGCATAAACATATACACACGCACACACACACATGACTCCTATTGAATTGGCCAAGTGTGAGAATTAAGCTTGAATTTTGTATTTAAACAACCCCATCTCTTTGGCTTTTCTTTTTTTTTTTTGCATTGATAATTTATAACTATGCCTGGACCTGCTACATTATTCACATTAGGAGCTGTAGGGGCTGCTGCAGTCTATGCCAATAGAAGACATTCCATGTCTTCTGCAGAAAAAGACGAAAACACACCTTATGCATTAGCCAGAAGACGTTCAAGTAATACACCTATCGATCACACCTGGGATCCACGAATGCAGCCTGAACATGTATGGCGTCGTAACTATGGTGTGAGCTTTGGGCATAACTCCAACCCCAAATTTCCCCTTACAAACAAGGATATTCAACAAACATCAAAGTAGTAGTATATTGTAAATAAAGCACTGTTGTCCGATACCTGTTTTAGACTTTTTTTTCTGTAGTTGATGGGAAAATAATAAGGTTGGCTGCATAATTTTTTTAATTGCATAACGCACACAAAGACCCCCCTTTTTTGTATGATATGTGGTATCTTTTTTTTATTGTTATGAGTACCAATCTAAAAATAACAATACAAAGCTTGCACCAAGTAAAAATGCTAATATGAACTTTCTACTACTTCTATTTCTTTCTTTGGCAGACAGTAGTTGAACATTACCACGCTCTACTGTCTCTGTAGTAGTCACTGCATCTGCATACAGCCTATCTGTTTGTACTGTCTGTGCAGCCAAATGGTTGGTCAACTGAGTTTGCAGTGTGGATATCTCAAGTAACGCCTTCTCCGCGGTCTTGATTTGATTCAAGGTATTATTTAAGCTTTCCAGCATGGTCGAATTCTCTCTTTCGAGCATCTGCATCTGTTCTTTAGACAGCATCTTTTCAAATTCATCCATTTCTATTTGCTCTGCATCTACTTGCTCAGCAAGTGGTTGGCTATTCAGTACGGGCATCATCGTAGACCTCGCGAGTTGGTTCTCACTCTTTTCAATCTCCCTTGTCAATCGAATCTCCTGCTGGTCTTTTTGAATCTTGGATACTTCCATTAATTGCTGATTGAGTAGCCAAGTGATGCTGCTTCTATGCACGCTCAACATGTCCTCTGTTGACGAGACAGCAGGAAGCACCGACTGCAAAAAGTGAGCAAGTCGAGTCACCGGTTTGGTCGCTTCCTTTTCCAACCTGATCTTTTCGGACTCTTCTAATTCCTTCACTCTGTCCATACAGCGCTTGATAATCAACTTGGCTTGGAAATCAATCTCGTCCCTTTCGCGATCCGTGAGCTGAGTGATGTGTGTCGGGAATAACGAAAACAGTTGATCAGTGGAAGATATATTCAAGCCGTGTTGATCTTTTCTTCTCGATCCTGGACGGTTGCTCGTGTCTAAATAGACAGGACGGATCGCCAAGAGGAATCGCTTGAGGCTGACAATGTGTCTGTAGATACGGTAGGCCTCCTTTGTGAAGAGATCGTATCTACCCTCTTCATCCTTGTGTAAGTCTTTTGTGGGCCTTGGTCCAATTTCTTTAACCTTCTTTTCCACAATCTGATGAAATTCTAATGTGATGTTGGACATTAGTAAGAAAGTGAGAAAAGAGGGAAAAATAACACGGACTTTTAAAAAGTAGCATAATCATAGTGCTTCATATGTGAGCCTGAGATTTTTAAAGCCGAAGATCATCTTTATATAAGACAAGCCGTGTTATTACTATCTCTTTTTTTTCTTTCATCTCGATTATCCACCGAGGGCCAGATAAAGAGCAAATCGTCCCCTTCAACTAATAATGGATCTAATGAAAATGTATTCATTATACACGTACAAATCACGTTTACATAATTTATATAATCTTTTCAGAAAATATGTCGCATTTTTGCAGTTTTTATAATACAATTTATACGAAAAAGTGACAAGTCAGCGCGACATCTCTTTCCGGAAATGATGTACATAGCCAAATACCCTCTGTTTTCTCAGAGTTTTTTGGTATTACTATCATCGTTCTCTTTTATTCATTCAATTGCAAACCATGGCTAAACCGCTGCTTACCTAACCAATCCTATTACTTTATCTCACGCATGGGTATACGCCTTCTTTTTTTGGAGCTATTGTTGGATGCATTATAAAATGATCATATAAATAGGAGGGCTTTGGTTATTTACTTTTACTAATTCGTAAAGAATGACATCCATACTTCTTCTATTTGCACTCATAACCTCTTGTCTTGCTGCTTATCCGGAATACAATACATGTTATGCACTCACTGCTTGGAGCGAAGCAGGAGAAGGAACGGTTGGATGGGGTAAGCGTCGTAGATGGGACACATACCGGCTCATGCTCAAGAAAGAGCTTCCATCTATCCACGGCGCAACCAAGCTGACAAATGCCCAAGGCAAATCTGGCAAGGTCTCCCCATGGGATGCAGTCCATGTCGAAACCAAGTTCTTTGGTTCAGAGAAAATGTATAGCTGGGGACGACAACAGTGGTACGTCAACCCTGCACCACAAATAGAAGGCGAAGTATTTGTTCTTAAGCCGTCTCATTTGGAAGATCATTGGTTGATCCGACGTAAACTGGATGGTCTACTCATCACCTTTCAACCCGACACGATGTCCTCCGCATACTCTCCAGACCGTGCTGCCTTATTTTCGTTTGAGCCTATTGATGATGCGTATTGCAGTGACAAGGTATATCTACCTGATCCTTCCAAGTCTGGACTGTACTATCAGCAGGTCGGAAGTGGTCATTCTGTAGAGAAAGAGAGAAACGATGTTGATGTAAAGGCATGCATATAATATCAAAGACAACAATAAAAATCTCGACACTCGTTTTTCTCTTCATTATAAACATATACACAGCGTATATATATTCACATAATCATGTTTTATATATATATATATATATGTCTTTAATTAAAATAAGCAAAAGTTGTAGAAAAGTATTCCGCATACAAATCCATAACTAAACAGATGATGCTTTATTTGTTTATTCCTTTCTGACCTTCTTAGTCTTTCTAACACCACGGAACTTCTTTTCACGGTTCTTCTTTTCCTTGCGTTGCTTACGACCACCCTTAGGAGGTTCAGCGAGACCGTAACGGACGAGACGGTATCTGGGTTCAAACTTCTTCAAGGCTTCGAGGTTGTCGTAGATCAAAGCGAAACCAGTGGTCTTTCCACCACCAAAGTGGGTCTTGAAACCAAAGACGGAAACAACTTCCTTTTCAGCCTTGTACATCTTGGCGATCTTGGCACGGAGTTCGTCCTTTGAGACATTGGCGAGTCCAGGATGGATGACATCGACAACCATTTGCTTACGTTGGAGCAAGCGGTTGGTGAGGAACTTACGAGTGCGAATGGTGACAGATGAAGCGTCGGCCTAGAATAGAAAATGCATAAATATTAGTCATGTTGTTCAATGATAGAAAAAGAAAGAAAGAGAGACAAAAGCAATTGTAAAGAGCATGTCATTGAGCAGTAGTCGATTTAATTCATTTCATTACTCCATAATTCGCATTTCTAATGATCCCTTCCCTTTCGCATGATCTCTCCATAATGTATGAACTTGTCTCATCCTCATCCATCCAACACTGTTTTTTGCTGATAGAGTGCCTGCTTTGTTATATGATGCATCGCTATGCTATATTATTCATCCATCCATCCATCCATCCATTTATTCATCCATCCATTGACATCCAATATCTTTTTTTGTCTATTCCATTTTCTATCATCTAATCCATGGCCCTATGTCCTCTCCCATTCTCTCTCTATCTCTCTCTCTCTCTCTTTCTTAATGCTACTACGCACCATTATGTATTGAAGTATTAAAGAGAGGGATCTTTTGATTTGCTCACTTTGTTGGTCAATACAACCCTCCCTCAATTTTCCAGCTCAGGAACCAATTAAAACGCCGATCATATCATTTATTATATCTAGCCTTTATTTACACATGTAATCCAGGAGAGGTGGGTATTAGTGATGATGTGGCTCCTTCCAAGAGATGATAGCCATTAGTCCAATTCCCGATATCATAGCAATGAGTTCTTTCAATGCCTGAAGTTTGCTATGATGATGACCTAGTAACTCTGGCATGACACCTACTGTAGCAATATAAATGAAGCCTCCAGCAGTAATTGGAATCGTCAAATCTCCCCAAGTCATATCTGTACCTAATAATCCACGGCGGTGATGATCAAGGAATTGAATGGCTGTCTCCTCAATGAATATGCCAATCAAGGTACCAATATAGGCGCCTATTGCAGTCGTAAATTGGGCCATCATTGCACGCTTTTTACTGAATCCTGATTTGATGAGGATAGCATAATCACTCACTTCATGAGGTATTTCATGAAAAAATACAGCGATTGTTGTCGTTGCACCAACTGCAGGAGATGCGTAAAACGATGCAGCCATAGCAATACCATCCGTCAGGTTGTGAGTAAAATCTGCCAATAGATTAAGATAAGTGCTGGCCTGTATTATCTTTTCATGTCCCTTTTTCTCTTTCTGATCTTTATGACTATGGCTATGACCCTTATTGCCATATATAGATCTCATTATTTTATCTGAAGCATAAAATATGAACAATCCAGCAAATGTACTGATGCCCACCAAAATATGTTTATGTTCATTGTTTTGATCGTGATGGTTATGTTGATGTTTACTAAAAGCGTGAGGCAACAAATGAATAAATACATCGCCTAGTAAGCTACCTATAAGCACGCATTTAGTAAACTCTGCGTTCCTCTTTTTTAACCGTTATTTACCAATAGCAAAATGAACAAGTGTATTCAGGGTAGTCGGTTTAATATTGGGAGGGACAAAATAGAGTAGTAAGTTGGGTATAACAGAGATATAAGTTGTCGCTAATAATGCATTTGTCATTGCATTTTCTGTGAATAAAAGGGCAAGCACTGTTTGCCCCAACATGATTTGGGAGATAAAGAAAAGAAAAAAAAAAAAAAAAAGAAAAACAAAGGAGAGAGGGATCGTCATCAGTACTGCATGAAAATTTTTTTGTTACTCCGAAGAGAACGACGCGTATGTCTATGCGCGTGTGATTTATTGTTCTTTTGATAAAACATGCTGAAATACGTTAACAAGAGTATCCGTTTCTTGGGCTCCTGATACAGCGTATCTTTATGATTTGTTAGTTAATATACAGTAATTATAATAGCATTCAGAACTTACTTGTCATTGATGGTAAAATGAGGTACGCCATGAATATCCATGAATGCATTTCTACGTAACAAATCTTTGACTTCTGATACACCTTGCTCACTCTTTATAAATTCAATAGTGCCGTCTTTACTTAATCCTGCTCTTTCAGCAGCATTGGCAAGTGACTCATGATCTCCTACATCCTCATTTCTCTCAAAATACAGTTTGCATATCTCTTCCACTACTTCACTCTGTTTACCAAACTGTTGAGACCACCAAACCAATCGATGAGAGTCAAATGTATTTGAGATAACGCCTCCATACTTCAAATGGATGCCTTCACCTTCTGCCACTTTTGTGACCATCGGAATCATGCTCTTCACTCGCTCCTCTCCAAACTTTTTGTTGTATGACTCCATCTTGTCCACTGAACCTTCTTGATGAGGGTTCAATTGAAAAGGAAGATATTGGACTTGAATAGACACATTTGAGTGAATTTCTTTCATCTTTTGTATTGCCTTATCAAGACGACGCTTGCCAATGAAACACCTATGGATGTGTTTTAAGTTCAATTGAGCACAACGTCAATTATTAGATGCTTACCATGGACAAACAGTATCTATAGTAGCCTTTATGCTTATAGTTTGAGACATGATAGTAATAACAATACAATAATAAAAGAAAAAAGCTATTAACCGATGGCTAGTGTCTATAAAAGTAACAAGATGACAAATCAATTAGAAACCAAGTCGCTGTGTTTAAATAATATCAACAGCTCTCACTCTTTGTAAAAGGAAAAGAATGGAAAGATATAGAAAAGGGAGATGAGCATTATTCATTTTATTAAATACTTGCTTTGACAGTGTTTGGCTATCCACTTTAATGGCTTGTCCATTCCTCCTCTCTCAGAGCGAGCGACTCTTGTTTCAAAAAGACCATCCAACATGTATATGCGTATATAGAGGTGACGCAGATTCACTTGATTTGACTAGAAAATAAAGCATGTTTTTTGAATGTATACCCATGATGATGGTGTACTTTACTTTACCTAAGCAGAGACCCTGTAAAATGAGAGATAATAGATTTTGAGTATAAAGGTCGGTGGCTTGTATAATTAAGTGAGAGAGTGAGAGAGTGAGAGAGAGAGCAGAAAAAAATCTCTCTTTCTTAATACAACAATAATGTCAGAGACTGAGGCAAAGCTTCCTAGAGTAAATCACGTCATTACTGTTAAAGTACTGTCATGCTTATTATTTTCATAGAAACGCTTTTATCGTCAACGTGCTCATGCCAACCCATTCTCTGATCATCAACTAGAATAGTAATGCATCGTATTTGATATATATATATACACGCGCGTGCCTTTTTATTAACATAAATATTCTAGTCCTTCTGAACCATCCTTGATGGACTGGACTCGTCATTATCCTGAATTTTATCCACCCAAGGAAGGACAAGTTCAAAAGAAAGTAGAGTTTGCAGATATCGGATGTGGATATGGTGGTCTTTTGATTGCCTTGGCACCTTTGTTTCCTGACACGTTGATGCTTGGTATGGAAATTCGTACAAAAGTAGAAGATTATGTGTATGAGAGGATAAAGGCACTTCGAGTACAAAAGCCTGGACAGTATCAGAATGTGTCGATTATGCGTATGAACGCTATGAAGTTCTTACCCAATTTCTTTGAAAAAGCACAACTGTCAAAAATGTTCTTTTTATTTCCTGATCCTCACTTTAAGCAAAGAAAACACAAGGCTCGTATCATCAGGTAACATATCTTAATATTAGTATATAAACAAAACTAAACGTTTAAATAGCCCTACACTTTTAGCAGAGTATGCTTATGCTCTTCGTGTGGGTGGTATTCTGTATACAATCACGGATGTAAAGGATTTGCATCTTTGGATGGTGAAGCACTTGGATGAACATCCTCTGTTTGAAAGATTAACTGATGAAGAATGTGTAAGTAAAGGTGTATACAATCAAAGACGTATATTGATGAATTGAATAGGAAAACGATCCATGTGTTCCTCATGTTAGAACAGCTACTGAGGAAGGTAAAAAGGTGGAACGAAATCAAGGAGATAAGTTCCTTGCTTGTTATCGCAGAATTGAAGATCCTTATTATAAATAAACAATGTAAATATGTTTAACTACTTTAAATGATATCTATTTTAAGGGGGACCTCCTTTTCATATGATTTATTGTTATAAAAGTATCTCTCTTTTTTTTTCCTTTGTCTTTATCTTTTTATTCTTACAAAACATTATGCTTCCACTCGTTTAAACAAGCATTCTTTTAAAAGACAAATGAAGGAGAAATCAATGTTATGTGCAAAGAAGCAAAACTAAAGCAACGTTATGAATCCTCTTTTTTTTCTTATGGAGATCCGGTCAATTGATAACTTTCTTTTGTACAGTACATAAATCAACATCTATGCCCATCTTTTTTTTTGTAATAAAAAAGCCAGGAATTTGTATTCCGCACATCTCTTTCTCTTTTTTTCTTCTTTTTTTTTTTACATGTTTGAACCAACTATAAAATATAAAAAGGTCAATGGGGAACCTATAAGCAAACCGGAAGATAAGCCGATTGAAAGACAAAGGGATACGATACCAAAAATAGAAGAAAAGGGGCAAAAAGAGAATGATAACAACAAACAAGTTGTACCTGAATACACTTTTGAAGAAGAGGATGATACAGGAGCTATTCAGATAGACCCAAATGATAAAGATCGCATCATTATCACACTGTCAACAGGGAAAAAATATTCTGCAGATAGGTATTGTCCTCATGCAGGAGCAGACTTATCTTATCATGGCAAACTTGGCGAGAATGATTACCCACCAGAGATTGGTCCTATCGTGATGTGTCAGTTTCATTATTGGGAATTTGCCCTTGAGAGAAAGGGAGATGGATTTGGAGGAAGAGCTACGATTAATGCCTGCCCGTTAGAAGAGACATGCTCAAGCAAAAAGTTAGACTGGTGATTTGAGATAAAGACAGGAGCATGCGTACGCGCGCAAGGTTATTAATAAAACATTACACAGTTGGAAGGGGGGAATGAATAACGATATTATTAATAATAGTAATGAGACTATTTACATATATAAATGCGGAAAGTTATAAACTATATACAAGAGAAGGGAGTGATACTTATTCGGAATTACGTCTTCCGGGTCTAACACGAAGAGGTTCGGGTGAACCAAGATGGATAGGCATGCGGACCATTAAGGCAACCGGGTAATCAGCTATAAAGGCTGTTGCTTGCACCTTGAATCCAAAATTTTCAAAAAATTTGACGCTTGCTGTATCAGGAGCTTCGACATAGACAGGGTGTTTGGCCTCATCTGCCTTATCCAGTACATGCTGAACCAGGGCGGAGCCATATCCTTTACGCTGTTCGTGAGGAAGGATACCAACGTATCCGATCGTAATGAATTGCTTATGGTTTGTCATGACCTTACGTTTCATCTTTTCACAGCTTGGACTCACTTGAGTCACTGCACGTATGGCTGCCGATAGACCGATCAGACGGGCTAGTTTGAGTGTGTTGAGCACACGTGGCCATGAGTTACCATTGGGGTTGTTTGTCCAGAGCAAAACTCCTTTGCAGCCTTCAACCTGGAGCGCAAAATCGCGGCTCTGTAGAGAGGACACGTCGATCATATGTTTGAATAGTGTGTATAGAAATTCTTCGTATTTGCGTTGGCCCAGTCCACGAACGCACCATCCCATAATTTGGTTTCCATAGTATGCTTCGGTTAATGAGTTGGCAGCTTCTTTAAATGCACCTGTGATTATATTTTTTTAGCCTCGGGGTTGCTATGACAAGGAGTGTCATGACAAACCTTTAATGATCGGACGAACATTGACAGTATGTTGGTTGACATTGACAGATAATTTTCGACTAATTTTTCGCTCGGAGGCTTGAGTTGCCAGTGTAGAAGACATGATGGGTATAGATCAAAAGATCTTCCAAAAAAAATATTTCATCCTTTTTATATACAATAAAAATTCTTTCGGAGATCACTCAGGAGAAGAATAAAAAGAGGAGGCTAGAACATCTCGGACCAATAGCCATCGACAGAACGAAAAAATTCCTTCTGGATTTTCCTCTTAAAGTCATTTACAGGTGTGTTTCCGAAGCCAGAAAAATTTAAAAAGCTATTTTTACGTTTTCTACCGTACAAACGGAATTATATTAATCACCTTGTAAACAATACATGCAGGGATGTGCGTTCTTTGACACTGTGAGAACCATTATTCCTATTGGTATTATCCAAGTGCATATTCTCATAAAATTGTTTCCTTTTCAAGATGCTATCTCGAATTGCTGAAAGATCATTTTAACACCGCTGTTTCTATCTGTTGCCAAGAGACAAAAGCCTGTAATAATTCATGATGGTGATCAATGGCCACTTCGAGAACTGGTTTTAGAATTGAAAGGGTGATGTGTTTGACATCGTTTTCATTCCAAATCTCAGAATATCTGTTACATGAACACAAGGTGTAAAACGTGGATCAATAGATCAAATCGAAAGCAATCAAGCCAGCATAAGGAGATCATGCTTTGATACCATACGCTTTCTCCCCTTGCTTTTTCATTTATATCCCCTTTTCTGTTCCACCACGCGCGCTTTTTTTCATTCAACAGCTGTAATCCCAGATGTCGTTTTTTTAACACATCCTCTCTTTATTCAAACGTGGGAATATATGTGGGTAAAAGAAATATTGATCCTTTTTTTTTCACACATAAGAATCTACATCAAGAAGCCATTGACTGCATACAGTTTGACACTGAAATCGTGTTTGATTCAACCATTTCTTGTTTTTCTAAAAAAGAATCCGAAACAAACTGTTGTTTAAAATTGGTTTGTCTGTTGTGATCAAGACTAACTGTAGTACAAGCTATTAAGGTGGTATCACCGTTAATCACGTAGATAGAAAGCAAAAAAAGGTCACCTAAAATAGTGAGCACTAAATGTAGTTAGTATATATAGATGAAAAAGGTTATCTAGGCGAGATATAAAATGACCATCATTTTTCGGCAACTGAATCTGTCTATTTGACAGCCAAGACAAGGTTTAACGATTGAGTCAGATATGAATAAAGGTTACGTAGGACATTTTTCTTTTTTTCTTTTTTTGCAAAAGTCTAGGTTTATTGATCTATTATGCTGTACAACAGTATTTGTTTGTTTATAAAATAGGATTCTCTTCAGTTCATATAAAGACAGATTGAAGCAGATGCTGCTTAAATGCAAGTCGGCAAAAGTTCTCGACTAGATAACGTGTTATACCTAATGGTTGTCACTGCTTTAATATTTACCATAATTCTACTACTATTACATATAGATTTCAGAAATTGTTGGCTCAATGGATCAAGTGACATGCTCAAAAAAAGCCAACAAGTCTTATATTATGATCGCTGGTTCATTAAATTAACTACCTGATAAAAGACCGTACCATATCAAACGCTAACCAAAGTTGGTTAAATTATAGCAAGTAGACTAACTCGTAAGAGTAATTAGTTGGATAGTTCTTCAATTTCATGTGATCTTGCTCTATTTATCAAGTACGCTTCTGTAAAGCATAAATTAATATTTTTCTCTTGCAACAGTCTTTTGAAAAGCTAAAATTGTTTGTGAGTATTAGACTAATCATATTGATGTGAATTCATGAGTCATGATGAACAATTGCACACTCTACTTTTCCCCAACACATCATTTTCTGAGTTTTTATGCATGATAGTAAAGAGTCTGACCGTCGCGTACGAATTTCTTATCAAGGATTCTTCATGTTTACGCAAATAGAATAACAAATGCAAGAGAATACGGAAACTGAGTTCATTTCCCTGTCATTTAAATACATTCTATATGAGAAGATATACTTTGAAAAAGATCTTTTCGGGAAGTTCACTCGGTATTCAGGATATGGTTCTAGCTATCCTTCTACAAAGCTAGAACCGTGATATAACTATTGGTATATTAATATAAATTCGAAACCTTTGTTGTTTATGAACACTGCAGTTAGTTCAATATTCATTTACTTGCTTATAGGCAATAAAGTATAGTAGAAACCTTGTTAAGCAAGGAGACAGTAATACACAAGTACACAGAAAACAAATGACTAACTAGCTGTCATCAAGATAAGGAGAACCTCGACTCCTTTGATGAGTTTTCATTAGCTAAAATAGAATAAGAATAATAATATACGCTTATGAACAAATAGCGTGCCTGATATGAAAGCAATATTAATTGGAAAGAGCATTCAATTGTCAGAGAAAGAGAGAGAGAGAAAGTAACCACATATAGTTAATACGAAAAAGCCAAGAAAAGTGATCAACTCGACTTATTTATATCACATTTACGCTAAACCTTTTCTTTTATTCTCCTTAATAAATAGTCTATAGTGTTGCCAACCATGGCCAATGGGCTAGCGCGAGAAGACTAAAAATTAGCATGGTTTTTTTTTTCTAAAGGAGAGTAATATTTGATACTAATCGACAACGAGGTAAAATTGTCCAAGTGGAATAAAGAGGGAGAAAGAAAAAGAGAGGCGAGAATAGGGCAATTTTTAACGCTCAACATAAAATAAATAGACAAATGTCTAGTATTACACATAAATAAATAAATAAAAACTACTCTCTCCTGATAATATTGCAAACATAAGCTGTGTCATTCAGAAAGGGAGATATATGTGTTGAACCAAGATAGGGAAATGGTCGCTTGCAGCACATGATAATGCCACACTGGTCTGTTTTGAGACAGCTAATTTAAAAGCACGAGCATCCCATCTTACCATTCACTCGGGCTATTGTAATACAAAAAGAACCCTTTAGAAGGAGCAGGTACAACTTTTATTATTCCCATTGTTTATTTCTGGAGATAAACATGCTTTTTTCTGTACATTTAAATATCCGCATTATGATTGCTTACAAGACTTGTTTAATGCTTGAAGCAAGAGGAAATAAACAAGCAGCTCTATTCTAATCAAAGATAAAAATCATTCAAAAGCGAGAATAGAATACTGTTCATTCAACATATCAAACTTTTTATAATCCTTATGTCTTGAGTTTGTCCAGATCGCGAGGGGTACCAAAGAAAACAAACTTCAAGTAGTGACCGAGACTAGGCTTTGTCTTTTCTTGAGGAAGTGCAACTTCGCAATAGTTGCACAAAAAAAGGTACGTAAAGTCTCGACACCAGGCTATAAAAAAGAATATGAGAGATCTCGTTGTTGTTGATCAAGGCAATATTCTCTATTATTTGCTTGCAAAAAGTCAGAAATATAGCTATGAGTGTATCTTTCTCTCTTTACATGAAATTGTTCTTTACTCTTCTGTAGTAAAAGATCAAGTCCAAGAACCTAAACATCAAAGTGGATGCCCCATGTCTAGCCTGGTTGAGCTTGAACTTAATCTAGTCTAACTTTTTTTTTCTGAATAATGCAATCATAGATGACTTGAGAACTATAATGCACCATGCTTTTTTTTTTCAATACTTCTCAGTATACGACAACAATAACAAAAGATAAAAGGTGCCAAAACTTGCAGCTCTTGCTCATTGTTACACTTGTATACTCCAAATATGCCTAGACGCGCGCAGTTTGTGTTACACAGCATGGGGTAACTTTTCCATTTTTAGAGAGCTTGGTCTAAAGTCAAAGGAAACAATGCCAGCTATGGCCCATTTCTCTTTTTTGTCAATGGTACTTTATAATTCAGAAAGAAGCACAAGCCTTATTAAGATAATAACCAAAGATAGGCAATAAAAAGAAAGAAAGAAAGATAATGGATGATATATTAACAAGGACTGATATTTTTTGCTCTCTTTATTGGGAAATACCCGACATACCGGTGATTCTAAGAGTATGTGTCTTCAAACATATGTTTGTTGAGTATAGGGTTTTGAGTAATGATAAAATTAAACCTTCTTTTAAAGTTTTTGTTTGCCGAAAGAATAGGTGCCCTTAATGAACAGAAAGAGAAAGGGGGTAAAGGGATGAGAAGTGCCCTGTTGGATAACAATCAAACTGAAAGACATTTCCCTCTGTTTCACTAATAAAAAAAAAGTCTCTCCCTTTTTCTTGTGTAATGTTTATTTGAATGGTTTGTAGAGAATATTCATTTTCTCTCTTTTTTTTAGCATTGTAAAGTGCACAATCCTTTCCTGTTTTGTAAACTTGGAGTTTTTGTTGAAAGGGGGAAGCCCATCCAATGAAAACTTTTAATTGTTGATTGTGCACATTTTCAGGATGAATTGGACAAGAGTACTTTTGACACGCGTGACCAACGGAAAGAATTGCGTACCAGCCGAAACTTTGCTTATAGGAAATCCCTTTTTTTTTTTATTTCTTGATAAAGTGTATATGCTCTATTCTTTAGGGACATTTTTGACAGTGTGTTCTTGATCTCTGATGTTTATGTAAAAGGGGCTTAAAATGAATAATGTTAAATGATTGTTAAAAAGTCAGGCCATGAATAGGATACACAAGCAAAGGATTGGTTATCTATCAAGACGATAGTATGCACTCATTTGACTATATATCTTCTTGTGTGTATCACATGTTTTTATTGTTTAGGCGCGATATAGCTTTTATTTATTTCTTCATGGTGAGAAAAAATAATATTTTTGTTATTGTTATTGTTGTTATCGTAAATGCAAGGATGTTTTATAAAAAAAAGCGGGATTTGTTGGGATATCAGAAATTTTTTGGGGGGAACAAAAGAAGTGCAAGTTTTTAGTATGTTGACATGGGAGAACGAGTTGGACTTGAACTATAAAAGCAATACTTATTGACAAGGTCAAGATAGGATTGAGAATTCAGATCCATGAACGAAGGGGAAGAAGCAAGTGGTGAATGACAATACAGGGGTGAGTTAGAATTACTCTGAAGGCTATAATTAGAGTGATTGTTATGTTGATGATGCCTTGATGATGGTGATGATGATGATACATCAATTGGAATAGAAGGTGTTGGTTTGATGGTAATGGGTTGTTGTTGCTTACTAATCGCTTGTGAGAAATCATATCGTTTCTTTAATTGGTTCTCTTCTTGTTGATCTTTGTTCATAGTAGTAGAGGCTGGACGATTATGTACAAATTGAATTTCATAATTTTTACAGTCATTATTATCCCAAAATTCTTGAGATCCTACTTTATAGTGAATGGCAAAATAAAGCGAACTAGATTGAATGTTGATCTTGAATGTAAAGACATCATAAAGCGTATTAGAATGATAATTTGATTGATAAATTGCATTCACATTCTGAACTGTTTCCCAATAATCAAACGTGTATCGAACTGTCACCGTCTTTTGATAGTCCAGGTTACGTACCAGTACTTTGCCATGTAGTATGTTATCTTGTACAGTAAAGAAGCCTTTTTCAATACGAATCACCTTATTTCTTTTATCAATGATATCTGCCAATCGACCGTTAGACCAGTTAGGAAATACCAACGTAGCTTCCTTCTTTTCTTCTTGTTCTTCTTCTTCTTCTTCTTCATCGTCATCACTATCAGCCCAAAAGATATTTTTCCGATGACTGATGGTTAAAGGTGTTTGAGCTTTTCTGAAGTAACAAATATTTTCCAAGTTTTCTTTATCGAATTGAACTGATTTTGTTGGACTACAAGGAGCTGATTTTGGTGCACGAATAGAAGATTTTAGCATACGAGGTAAATCAATGACCTTTTTATCACTGATGTTTATGGGGCTAGATTGAATGATATTCACATCAGTAGAGGATGGTAAATGAAGTGCACTGGTCACTAATTGTCGTGTATAGTCATTTGCTTCCACTTGCCGTTCTTGCTCTGGTTGGCGATAGTCTAATAGTAATGACCTCTTGTTTAATGTCACACGTTTTTTATTTGCATAATTATGCATTGTTAAAGTATTTGACATGTTTAATAGAATATCAGAAACAATTAAAAGAAGAAGGAAGAAGAAGAAAAGAAATAAAAAAAAATTTAAAAAAAGTAGAATTTATACTTTTGAGATAAGAACTTACATGTAAGAGTGACGATGTAAACTTGCTTTTGTGTGTGTGTGTGTGTGTGTGTATGCTTGTGTGTGTATATATTAAAAATATCAAAATAATCATTTTGATTGGTTTCGCCCTTAATATTTTTATTTTATTATTTAAAAAGAGCTTTGCTGTCCTTTCAATTTCTGTTCTTGCATCAATTCAAGTAAACTCTTATTATTTGATGTACCAAAAGGGTTACGACTGGGATGCTCAATTGGCTATAATATAAATAAGCCCTTGAGTAATTAATTGATTATATCATCGTTACCTCTGAAAATAAGTTGTTGGAAGTGTGTTGTGTTGCCAATGTGTTGGCGAATCCTGTACCACTATAACAGTGTCAATAAGATTCATTTTTGTATGCTTTTCAACCTACAAAGGGATACGAAGATTGCCTGTGTTACCGAACGTATCTATACCGTTGCTATAGAATGACATCATGTTACGGTCATTCTTCTATTATCTTCTGGGAAAAAAATATTTTTTTTTTTACCTTGGTCTTATCCATCCTTCTGCTCCAGCAGCTGATCCTGTTGTCTATCCCATTTGAGATTTTAGACTCTAAATATGTGTCGTGCACGAGCCAAGCCGTCAATCATTTACCTGAGCATTCATTTGTCCAAATGGGTTATGACTATTCTGAATTCCGGTCATCTGTGCCTGAAAGTGAGGAATTTGTCCCGATGAAAATGATGATGTCTGCTGTGGGGGGTATCCTGTCATCTGTGCTTGAAGTGTATTCTGGTATGCATATCCTGTTGGATACCCTGTTATTTGTGCTTGAAGTGGACTAGAATAGTATGGGTTGTTCTGTTGTTGTTGTTGTTGTTGTTGCGTGGCTGTAATAGGGTCCGCAAATGACATGCCAGTAGACTGCGGCCACTGCGGTTGAATCTGCGGTTGAGTCTGCGGCAGTATCTGTTGTTGTTGTTGTTGCTGTGATTGAAAAAGCGGGTCAAAGCGTTGAGTTGTGGGGAATGGGTTTGATCTGTAATCATCATGAGCAAACTATATTTATGCCTATATCATTACCCCACAACTTACAATAATGATGGACTTGATGTTTGTAATCCAAACAAATTATCAAAATTCGTCTTATCCAATTGTTCTCTTCGTTTCCTTTCCATTTCTCGAGCCTCTCTTTCACTTTCCTCAATCGCTCTTGCCAGATCAGCATCACTATAATCCAATTAAAATCTGTTATATAAGTATAATCCATCTACCTGTCTCCTCGTTTTTTGGATTCTATCTCTGCCAGACGTTTGCTCTCTTCAATGGCTCTTTGTAAATCTCGTTCTTCATCTATATACCTTGGCTCATTTCTTCTAGTCAAAGCTGTTGACGTATAATCTATATTCCATACCCTATCTTGCAATGAGTGAGGTGATTTTCTTTCATCTCTCAGTCGCTGATCATCCAATATTAAGCTGGTTACTTCATTTGCCTTTTGTCGAACTATAAGAGAGGGGTTATTAAAAGTATAGACATGGTATTATTTTATACCATTATGTCCAACATCTCTTCCAGCATCATCCAAATGTTGAAACTCTCTGAGCGTCTTGATCACATATACATTCTCTTTTGCATACATGACCACATTTTCAGATCCAAAATGTAATAAATAATCCAAGACGACTAATGCCTATGATCATATAAGTTTTTCTTTTTCATTTTTTGATATATTCTTACTTTAAAGACGTGTCTCCAATTTTTGCCCTTGTCATTCAGTCGTTTATCAAGCATATCCATGATTTCAATAAAGTCATGTCTAATGAATAAGTAATAAAGCTGACGTATTCTTTCTAGATCTTACTCGTTAAAAGTAAGTTGAGCCAGTTCATTTAGAATGACACCACTGGGTCCATGAGGGTCATTCGATGTTGCCTCTCTCACTTTAATTTGTACTTCACTAAATCCTTTTGCATAGTTTTTACTACTAAAATAAGTAATAAAATAAGGTGACACTTTATGACTCACATGCTTCTGACTACACCTTTTCCTGCCATTATGAATAAGAAAGAAAGAAAGAAGAGAAAAAGAAATAAAAAAATTACTAAAAAGAGAAATTGTTATTTTGAAGTGGAGTAACACGAAGGTGTGTGTCAATCATTTTTTATTTATTTGTAAAAATAATCTTAATGAATGTCGCAATGGAATTGGCCCAATTATTTCCGAAAACATAAAGAGAGAAGCAGAACTCCTTTTTGTGATAGACATCTTAAAGGATGAGCTGCGCGACGTCACTTCCGCAGTAGTTTAAAGAGAGTATAAATTTTACATTCGACCATTTTTCTTTTTCTTTTTTCTTTCCCTTTACTTTACTTTTATAATTGATTTGACAATGAATGAAAATTTAAAAGATAACATCGAATTACTATCTTATGCGAAATTAGCCGAGTATGATCAGACACGTATTGATTTATCCATACGCAAATATGTCTTGATTACCAATTTACTACGAGGACCTAAAGAAGATCTGTTAGAACAACATTGGTTTGACACTTGTCTAAATGAATTGACAAGAGAAGAAGAACAACAACAGCAACAGCAACAGCAACAACAAAATGATAAAATGCAAGATAAACCTAATGTTCAACTTTATTACAATTTCAATCATCGAAATGGATTCCTAGTTTACACTTCCAATCTATAACAACCCTTTTCTCTTCTCTTTCTCTCATGTACATAGCACACACATAACCTTCTTCTTTTTGCTTCCTTTTTACATATACAAAATTATACATCATACCACCATTTTATATACATATTCATCCAACTCTTCTTTCTTTTTTGCTAGTTTGAAATAAAAGAAAGATAACAATAATAATAATAATAATGAATTTGATAAAAGATCACTTTATTTGGAAATTAAGGAGGTCATTAGACAGTGTGATAAGATAAAAACATAAAAGCAAACAGTAATCTTCGGAGAAAGAAACCAAATAGACATATTGAAGACATGTGAGGCATACTCTCTTTGAGTCATGCTTCATACATAAAGATGTAATTTAATACTTTATGCGTGTACTTTATCCAAAACATGGCGACTAATAAAAGGACAACCGCATAAGCAGATCTCAGTGGAGCACACATAGTATCCTTTATAAATAGAGCTGCAGTGAATTATATGTACACAACAGACCGAGAATCTGTATAGCAAATGCTTGGCAGTATAGAATTATTGTTATTAAAACAGACATCTTTGATGTGTTTATTACCTTTATTGCTTTTAAATAAATATGCATGAATTTTTTTTTTTTGTTATAAGTTATTAATGCATTCTTACACACACACGCACACATACATATCCTTTTTCAGCTCGGAACATTTTAGATACTTTTTCACTACAAGAAATTATTTAACCTTTTTTAATCTATAAATAAAAGAGTGGCGCCTCCCCCTCCTTTGTCTGCTGATACCATTCGAGAGTGCCACAGCAATTTTATGTATAACCTAATCATGCCATTTTCAAAAAAGTAGTCTATTTGATCCAAAGAAGCAAGGGGGAAGAGAATAAGAAATGGTCAACTTGTATTCTTTAAAAGGAAATATAGACCAAGCTACATGTATGTGTCTGTGTCTAATTGAACAAACTTTCTCGGGAAAGTGCATTCATGTTTAAGCTATTCGTGATCAAACCTTGATTTATTTTAAGGAGAGCCAATTTCCCCCTCATGATGTGTTATTTATCTAATCAACAACCTTTTCTTTAAAACAAAATTGGCTTGTCATAACTTGCTTTTATATATAAATAAGTCATCGCTTGTCAATAAAAAAAGAAATTGCTTTATAAAAAAGAACACAATAATGGTATTTCCTTATTTGTAAGACATCGGCATTTAAGGCAACTCGCTTTAAAGCTGCGATAAAAAGAATTACGTCCTTTTTTTCTTTAAACATGGTCGAAACAAAACCCTTTGGATCTTGGGAATCACCCATTACAGCCGAATCACTTTCTGCAGGCTATTCAGCCACTGATATCTGTATTGATGGTGGTTATGTCTACTGGAACGAGATTGTCCCAGCCGAAGAAGGACGCGGTCAGATCTTTATGAAATCTCTTGTCAATGACGAACCTGCCAAACCACTCTTACCTCTTGGCTTCAACTGCCGTACACGCGTGCATGAGTATGGAGGAGGCAGTTTCAAGGTCAGAAATGGTCTCTTGATATTTTCAAATAATAAGGACTCGCGTCTGTACAAGATCCAGATGGATGAACCCGAGAATATTCAGCCGTTGACAAAGGATAACACACTCTACAGATATGCAGATATAGACATTCACCAAGGTATGAAGTTCCTTGTGTGTGTACGTGAAGAGCATTTCGAAAAGGAGGAGCCTAAGGATGTGGTCAACACGCTGGTCACAATTGACCTCACGACCGGACATGAGACCGTGTTAGCAGAAGGAGCTGACTTTTATGGTTGTCCTCGCTTGCATGATGACTCATTGGCTTATATCGCTTGGGATCATCCCAACATGCCTTGGGATTTCACTCGTTTGTACTTTGCCACGGTTGAGTATAAGGATGAAGCTCTTGATGTTAGGTCAATCAAGTGTATTGCTGGTGAGGACATTAACGAATCTATCACGGTAACACTTCTTTATTTCCAAACATACATACACACGTATGTCATTTCTAATCATTTTCTTAGGAATTGAACTTTGGTGTCGATGGTAAACTTTATTTTGCTTCCGACCGCACAGGTTTCTGGAACCTCTACTCTTACACCACCTATGAGCCCATTCAACTCTTGTTCAAACAACCTCTCCAACAAGAATTTGCGGGTCCTGCTTGGACATTCAATAATTCGAGCTATGCCCCTTTCCAAACTGACGCAACCAGAGTTGTGTGTATTAACAAGGATCGTCTGGCGATTTTGGACATTGAACAAAAGACTCTGAATGATATCCCCTTGGAGAACTATGAGCACTTTTCTCAGGTCCGTACCTGCATCCACAATGGCAGGGAAATCGTGGTTGTCAACGCATCTTCCCCTACCCAACCCACTCAGTTACTAGCTCTTGATCCAGACACAGCTTATGTCCTGTCGACCTTGAAGGGCCCCATATCCGAGCCATTGGACGATGCCTACATCTCGATCGGCAAAGAAATCGCGTTCCCCACTACCGATGGCAAGACTGCCTACGCTTACTTTTACGGGCCCAAGAACCCCAAGTACCAAGGTGAAGGTTTACCCCCTCTTCGTGTAGTCTCTCATGGCGGGCCTACCAGTCAGACTACAAACGCGTTCAACCGAAGTTACCAATACTGGACTAGTCGTGGTTTCGCCCTCGTCGATGTCAATTACGGTGGCAGCACAGGGTATGGACGTGAGTACCGTAACCGTTTGCAGAAGAAGTGGGGTATTGTCGATGTCGATGACTGCTGTAACGCTGCTCTCTATCTTGCCGATCAAGGCCTCGTCGATCGCAACAAGCTCTCTATTGTCGGTGGCAGTGCAGGCGGCTTCACCACCTTGGCCTCTCTTGCCTTCCGTGACGTGTTCAAGGCCGGTTGCTGCAAGTACGGTATCTCAGATATAACCTTGCTCGCCAAGGAAACACACAAGTTTGAATCAAGATATCCTGATCGATTGATCGGTGAATATCCCAAGGACGAAGATATCTACAGAGAACGTTCCCCCTTGTTCAGTGCAGACAAGATCGATTGTCCCGTCATCTTCTTCCAGGGATCTGAAGATAAGGTCGTACCTCCTTCTCAGTCCGAAATTATGGTCAAAACACTCAAAGAGAAAGGCCTGCCTGTGGCCTATGTTCTTTATGAAAAAGAAGCTCATGGTAAAAATTAAAAGGTAGCAGTAAACCATATACTCATCATTTTCTGTAGGCTTCCGTCGTGCAGAAAATATCAAGCGAACAATAGAGCTAGAACAATGGTTCTATGGTCAAATCTTTGGGTTCTCTGTAGAAGGAATTGAAGGAGTCGAGATTTATAATTATCCCAAGAAACAATAAATGGATCCATTCAAAAAGGATTTTTATTGAGATGAGGGGGGAATATGCTTGACATTTAATCTATATCATCATATGCAGCCGCTGCTCGGCGTCTGCGATTTTCTGTCTTTTTACTCTTCTTTAACTTGTATTTCTTTTTACCATTTTGAAATAACATCGCATCCTTGTGATCTCTGCCAAGTGTATCATAATCCTTTACTTTATAAATTCGCACAATCCAGTTTTCAGAGGTAAATGCTTCTTCCAAGACGGATAGTTCGGGACCTTGCATAGGCAAAGGCTGGTTACGGACTCGATCAAAGGGTTGTCGACCGCCAAAGAGTTCATTGAATCGGTAGTAACTCATCTTGTACATGAGTGACTCTCTCATCGCCTTGGATGCCTGGTCATCTACACGGTACTCTCCAGTTGCTGTAAAATAATCGCTTTCTTTGATCTTGTCTGGCCAAATACCCTGAGCGATACGGATCATCCACAAGAACTTGTTGATGTCGTCTCCTGAATAACCAAGAAGGCCGCCAAAGATGACCAAGACATAGTCGACATCGTGGCGTTTCATGATTTCATATGCATCATCTTCGTTAGTGGCCATGGCGCGTCCAACTGTGGCGATGTGCGTGTTATTCCATGTGTTGTTGTCAACAAGTGTCGTACGGTTCGAAAAACCGGCAATCTGGTATCCGTAATCCCACCAGGACATGATCTTGGCATCTTCATCTGTGTTCTTTCTTAACCAATAGTAGGCCTCTCGGAAATCATCAATGATACGTTGTGAGCCATCAGGGTTACGTGAAGCCAAAACGACAGAAGGTGAGGAGTACGCGTTGGATGTGACCCAGGTACAGTGCCAGACAAACATCATGAGCATAAAGGTAAAACAGCCAACAACGAGAATACGAGGACCGGCGCCCAATATTCCAGATGCTTGTGATTTGGCACTCGCCTTCTTCTTGGAGCTCTTGTCGTCCTTTTTGCTAGTGGATCCCTTGTCTTCCTTCTTGTTCTCTTTTTCGCTAGATCCGGAATCGAGCTTCAAGTATGTGTCCAGTAAGGTTGAGATGGCAATACCGCCACAGATACAGACAACAGGTGTGAGTGTGAGCATCAAACGAACCATGACGCCGGCAAAATACGAAGCAAAGATACTGTACACAATCACAAAGACGTGTTCGTCACGAAGCTTTTCAAAGCAGAGATAGATACCTACTGGGAATAAAAAGACAAGCATGTGCAAGTCAAAGAAGAACATGGGCCATGCTGTGGGCTGATGTTCAGAGACTGAGGCAATGATGGGGATGTGAATCTTGGCGTATCCAGTATCCCATAAAGAGTAGAATCGACCGGTCCAAGGGGCAATGTAGCCTGCGAGCGTAAGTCCGACAATCGCAGAGAATCCGACGACAAAAGTGATGCCTACAAAGGCCTTGAGAATAATCTGGAACTGCCTGGCTTGAAGATGACTACGAAGTAAGTTGACAAAACCCATGATCTGACAAAGGCCAAAGACGCCAAGAGCAGCCATATGCTCAGATGTACGCGTGGGCTGAAAGCCGACAAATGGAATCTGCATTGACATCAAAGTGCCCAGGACATAAAAAGTTGAGTAAGACACGTAGACACGGTTAGAGAAACGACCCATGAGCATAAGCACAAAGACATGAAGAGGAATCAAATTGATAATGAACACATAACCGCCCCAAGCAGCTACCATATAAAAGTAAAAGAAGGCGGATGCAGAGGCCCAAAGGGCAGATCCTAATTTGAGCGCCTTGATCCATAAGTAAAACGTAAACATAAGCAAAAAGATGGCGATCGCTTCATTATCGTATGAACCGGCAACTGAACGTGAAATGTAGCCTGGCGCGATACCAATAAAGGCTGCTGCCAATAGGCCGGCAGAGCTATCCTTCAGTTCGCTCGTCAAGAGATAAGTAGCCAATGCTGTTAATCCAGAAAACATAGGTGCTAAGAGAACACAAATATTGCGAATGTCGACTGGGAAATTCAAAAAGTGAAGCACATTGTGAATGATGGCAGCTGTAACCATTAAACCTGGATAGACTGTTCCTCCTACAACGCGTCCAAGTGGATACCATGAACGGTCATCAAACCAATTCCAAAATTCATAAAAGCCATCTTTAACCAACATGCGTGTAGCACGGTAATTGAACCTATGATTGCTTAACATCATGTTATCTAGTCTTTTTTTTAAAGTATTACCAAGGGTCAAATTCATGAATAATTGATTCATAACGAACAATACTGAATAAACGAGAAGCAAAGGCCACAACAGCAATCAAGCCGAGGATGGACCTTTTTAGTAGAATTTTCTGGCTGCTGACGTCCAGCTGTGCCATTGCTTATTTACACTTTTTTTAAAAAAAAAAGAGTGAGACGCTAACTTGGTTGCCTTAATTGATAAATTTAATTAACCGCAAATCACAAAGCTTGGCTTGATATTGGTAGTCCGATTGACTTTGGTTCTCCATTTGCAGGATATGGACTTGGTAATATAGTCATTGACGTGTCTAATGAACGCATATCAACTATAACAGCTTAATCAAGGGAAAAGAAATCTAGATTTTACATTACAGACTATGTTTCATCTTTGCTACTGCGCCAAGTACAAAAAGGCAAAAAAGAACTATGCCATAAATGTAGAGTGAATATACTAAAATATCAAAGATGTAGAAAAGGATATGGCTGAGAATATTACAAGTTGGACTAATTGAAAAATAGCTATCTGATTTGGTTCCTTGACCTCCTTTTTTTTGGATACTTTTCTAGCTGCTCTCTTTTGATTTTCATCTTTATAATCTGAAAAGCCATTATCGCTTTATTTACAAAGAGGTACGAATGAATAATAGAAACACTCCCAGAAGTCAGGATCGCAAAAAAGGTGTTTTTAAAGCAACCAAGTAGCAAACTCGGGAAATATCGTGCTGATATCATGCATGGCTCCAAAAAAATAAAAGAGATCGACATCTGATCGATTATAAAGAGTAAAGGTAAAAGAAAGAAAAGGTTGTCAAAACGTATTCTTTTTTAAAACAATAAATTGTACGCCAGGATGAAGGAAATGTAAGGAAAACTACATGTATTAAAATGGATTTCCTTGTGATGTGTACAGAACAATGTAGTAAATTCGTGTCATTTATCACTGTGCATTGAACAAAAGAGATGAAACAAATGGTGCTTTATTATAACGCATGGATTTCAGGTGATCCCTTAAAGTCATGGGAAGGACAATTAAGGGCGGGTAATGACGATGCTCTACGACAGAAAAGTGATACAAGGCATAAAAAAAAAAAAATGAAAAAACGACCGTGTCAAATTGCAGCATACATAAACATAAATCCAGGTGATCTACTGCAAAAGCTCCTTGGCGGACTCAAAGTAATTACCATTTTTATGCATGAAAGAGTTTCGCATAGTTTGCTTGAGAAATAGCAACACATTGTTGTCTATCGACGCGTTAGTAATATTGAAAGACTTAGCATCATATGATTCGCTGTAAAGTTGGATGGAGCAATCCGCAGAAAACGAGTATGAATTGATTTCGAAGAGTATCTTTGTACACATGCTATTGATATCATGAGCGTGGAATAAACCATATATTGTGTGTGCGAATCGGTCCTAGTTTTGTAGGACAATTGCAGCTTTAGTAGCTCACAATCAACTGATAATATCGTATATATAGCTCGTCGCTCAGAGTTCAACTTTAGAACCTTTTGGCAGGTTTGGCTTATACTGAACGTGCCGTAGTCTACAGCTGAGTTTTTGCGTTTTAAGGACTTGATCGAGTTTATATCGTCATTGTCATCATGCTCTTGACCAACAAAATTTGCATTACCACTGTGATCCCTAATAGCGTGCTTGTTGAAAGTATCCATGTTAATATAGTGCTTCAGGCATCCAACAATGGGGCACAGAAACTTACCGTCAACTCTCGGTATATAAATGGTCACTATAAAAAAAAGTGTAAGTATTTCTCAGTCTCCTTTTTTTTTTTTCATTGCAATCTGTTCGTTTTTCTTACCATTGTCATTTAGTACAAGATGAAATCCAATTGTATGTTCTTGCCTATGATGTTTACGGAGAGTGGAGGATCTGTCACAAACGAAGCATTTATATAGACTGGATTTTGTGAACAAGTAGAAAGTACAATGAGACTGTGTGTATCTTTATTCGGAATAAAGTAAAAAGAAAAAAGAAATGATAGCACAATCTATGAAATTTGCCTCTTGAAAACCACGAAATGAGCTTCAAACAAACAATGCAATTTTCTGTGTAAGCCTCCAACGTTTTATTTTGAAGTCCGCGTTTCTTCTCAACATCTTCACATTGGGAGCGAAACGACTGTAACAACAACAACAACAACAACAACAACAACAATAATAATAATAATAAACACAACACAGACATCTCATTTTCAAAGAGGGGAAAGGAAAGGAAAAGAAAAGAAAAAGGCAAGGGAAAACATGAAACAACTAAATACACAAACAAATACAAGTATAAAATAGTACAAAGTCATCTGTTGAGGTGGCTTGAACTTCGACATTTGAGACCATTCAAACGTTCTTCTCTTCTTTTTTTTTATGCTACGTTACCCTGTTTGATGTGTCACTTTGTTTTCTTATAGGTTTTGTCAAATGATTTTGATGCAAGATGAGAAAGGTTCCGTCAGAATATGAATTTGTAAAGATTTTTTTAATTTAACCAAACCAAGAAAAAAGGGTTTAGAACAAAAACAAACAATTCAATGCTTGAGCAAACTGCTGCATTTGTTATAAATAGGAACTGTTGCTCAACTCAAGTTTTTCTTATATAAATAACTCATCTTGCATCTCTTTCTTACCTTTTTCTTCTTCTTTCAAAAACTGAGAATGCAAACAGCTCATTCGGGCAACCATACTTCATACTCAAATAATCAAGGAAAACTCATGTCAATATCCTCTATCATCGCATCAAGTTCAAACCCTTACTACAAGGATGAAAAGAGGATCTCTCTTCCTGGTCATCCTTACAATCACCCTCACCATTTCCCTCTCTTTCGTTCCCCACCTGCTTCCCCAGAGCCTTCGTCTCCATCTTCTCTGTCCTCTTCACCAAGACACTCTATGTGTTCTATGCAGCAAAAATCTACAGATGATGAAGAAGATCGCGAAGCTTCTAGTGTTCCACTGACTTTGGAAGAACGTCGACTGAGGAACAAGGCTGCCTCTGCAAAATATCGCCAAAAGAAAAGCCAGCAACATAGTGAGATGAAATACATGATAAGTAAATTATCCGAACAAAACGCTGTGCTCGAGCGACAGCTGCAAGAGCTGCGACTGGAGAACGAACGACTGAAGGCAACATCGGATAGGCTTAGGGGTAAGATGGTGGCAAGAAAAATGCTAAAAAAATGGATTGGAAAGCAAGCATCTGCATCAGATAACATGGTATGCTCTTATAATCAACAACAGCAACATTATCAACAGTACGGTGATCGACTGTCCTACCTCTGTCATCTTCCTAGCAATAGTCCACTCACTACTGAACTCAGTTCAAACATGATTGATATCTCAAACAGCGAGCAGGAAGATGATGTTGATGATGTTGACCTTAGCTCTGATTAACCCTTTCAATGGTAAACACTGTGCAAAGCCTTTATATAGATTTTTCTTTTGTTTCAATACCTGTCTTTCTTTACAACTTTCTTTTATGTGTACATTATGTTTCTTTTTTTTTTTCCTTCTTATGTGATATATAAAAACATATTTCTTTTAAAATAAAGCATATCATTTCTTCTTTATTTCTACTGCATTACAAAAGGCGCTCTTTATTTCATGATATGTCAACTTTTTCTCTAATCTTTAAGCAAACTTTTGTGATCTGATCATTTGCTCTAAAGCAATAAACAAACTATTATGTTTCCCTTCATGAATCATACATAACTGCTTTTGGATGCCTTTGAGTCGTGTGAATACATGCCACTGCTTGTCCTAAATGCTTCTTATAGAAAAGATGCCTCCTAGCAACACTGATATTTAGATCATCTCATATCCGTCCTCGTTGTTTCAGGCAGTTTAGATACATATAATGTGTATCGAAATTTGACTGTTTTTCCATCAACATTTATGTATTACAGAAAAAATCAAATACTCATTATGATAAAAGACGATACAATGAAGACATCAAGGCTTTGCTGCGTGACAAAAATGTAACGTTTACTCTTGGATGCAACATTTATCAGGTGCGACTTTACTTTTTCATAAACAGTGTATTTTACAGAAACCAAAAAAAAAGGCATCATTATATGTCATCAAAAGTTAAGATTGAAATTATACAAGAGGCGCAGACAATCCCATTTCTGCACCTGTCACCTGCAGACATTCTTGAATCAGACTGATTACAACATCATCTTCGCATGTAATCACACTGCATAAGGATGGATATAAATAAAAGAGATGTGCTCTTGGCCCAGACAAGAGTAATTTCTTTACAGGATCTTTTTTTTAAAAGATGTTAAGTTTTGTATCTTTATGTTTCTTTAAACTTACTTGAGTTTTCTTCAATTGTCAAAATATTCTCTTGTAACTTCAATTGAATTGCTTGCTTCAAAAAAAATAACATCTCCTCTTTTCTTACCCTAACAAAAAAAAAAAGCCAAGTCAGTCGAAAGGGGGCTTTTCATTGACTATCGTTTGTAATTTCTCTCTCTCACCGCATCAAGTACCTGGGAAACGGACATCTTCCTAGCAAAGGTTCATCAGCTGTGTAGTTTCTAAGAATTGTCTCACATCTTTCAAGTAATACAGGTATGGCCACTTTAGCAATACGCTTACGAACCTGCGGGTTATCTAATAAGATATTTAATACTAGTTTCAACTATTTATATAAACAAACCTTGGTTTTCAGCTGAGCATAAAGAAAAGAGTGTCATAAATGCAGCATAAGCAAATGATTCTTTCATCACAGGCACAATCGTTCCAGTCGTGCCAACAATGTCACTTGATACTGACTGTTCTGTCTTTTCAATATAATACAATCTCGAACTCTCTCTGATCACATTCATCAACTTTTGAATCACTTCAATAGGTACACGAGGTTTGCCTAAATAAATAGCAATATCGTTTTGTATGACGCTCAAAACAGAGATATCAAAGTGCTCGTCTACATCGAGTTCTTCAATCTTCATACTCTCTGGTGGCGAACTAGGCGACAAAAGACTGCCTTCGAGTATGTCAACTAACGTACGCCAGACACCAACAAATCTTTCCAGTGGTACCTCTATTTTCGTTATTTAAAACCATGGTTCTTTTCCCTCATTAAACTCACTTACCATCACCAAAACGCTCTAGTGTTTCTAAGCCAAGTACAAGTATTTCCAAAAGCTTTTCTGTAGCCAACTTCCACAGAGGCGTCTTGTCATCGTCATGTCGGCAAGAAGGCGGACAGTCGTATTTTAACTTCATAGGCAACCCATAAGCGCCAATAATACGCTCAAAAACGCCATCCGTGTAAATTGACAAGACATGAGCATGCTGTTTGAACAATTCGGCAATCAAATGACTGCACTTTTTGTTCAAGGCGATGTAGGTCACTGTAGAAAATTTGCGTTGGCTAGGCGGTATGTAGCCTCGACTCTTTTGTTTGTCCTCAGGTGGACTCAGGAATGCCAAGGTCATGTATTCTGACAGATCAGCAATAACTAACGGAGGAACGCCAGACATACTCATATCTAACACTTGCACGGCATCCAGTACAGCTTCTTGCAGTGGTGACAGATGATCAATGTCTGGACGGTACTGTGGACTGGTCGAGTATACCAGAACGTTTCTCAATACGTCCAGCAGAACACTGACGTCCTCTAGTGTGAACGTATCTGGTATCAGTTTGTAAATCTCGGTAAACATGGATACGTAAGCCGTAAGCATGTCTTGGGTAAAGTCATCAGAGATAGGTGCTGCGCTTGATGTCGATAAGGATAATGTAAGTGACTGAAGTTCATGCTCAAGCGGGCTGTACAATGGTTTATCAGTCGCAGCCTTGTTGATGCCGTTGCCAATCGCTTGCCAAGTATTCCACGTACGACGCCACAGAGGTAAAAGTTCGTCCGCGTGCTCGAATTCGGGTGAAATGCTGACGAGAGACTTTAGGCTCTTGATGCTTGCAAGGGACACTTCTTGACTTGAACGTAAGCATGAATCTTCGAGATGCGCAAGAAGTAAGGTAAATGCTCTTGAAAAGTGTTCTAGTTGATAAAGATCGTTCAAGAAGTCATGAAAGATGGATGATATACCCGTTAATATCAACACTTTTGTTTCGTCCCACTGCTTGTCGGCTGTATCCCTGGAGTGATGCAGCATGAAGCCAGAGCTGTCTCTTTCTGCTGCGTTGGTCATGAGAGTTCTATTGCCAAGTGCCACCTTGGATGCTCGGATGGACGACATCTTTATGGAGTCAAGAAGCGGGAAGAGCACCTTCCAGATGCATGCATTCCATAACTGAGGACCGAGAACATGACCGTTCATGCTGATGGTTCGGAATAGTGTCTGATTGGCTCCGTTACGTACCTCTGGACGCCAATCTGTGCACGTGTGTGACAGCTGCAAGAGGAGTAGCATCCAGAGAATGCTGTAGGTCATGGAAAATTCACTGTCTGCTCCAGAAAGACTGATGTCAATATTCAAACTCTCGTTATCAATGGGTACATTCTCTGTTTGCTCTTTCATAAGTTCAGTACGTCGTGTTTGAATAAAATCAGATAGGTTCCACAAGAGTCCAACTGCGGTCAAGCTTATGTTCAAATCTTCACTTTGCATACCAAAAGAGCCAAGTGTAGCAATACATTGACGAAGGCAGTCGGGTGATAAGAGCGATAAAAAGTCGGTGCAGATAAGTTGAAGACTGGCAAATGCAACCTTGATAGAACCGGCAGCGGCGACTGCGGCGGCTGCGGTTGAAGGTGTTCTATTGCTGATGGCTGAGGCATTATTGGTAATGATAGATGATCCAGTGGTGTCGATGCTAGCTCGAGTCTCTGAAGCTTCGTCCGCTTCTTCATAAATGATCTCCGGTGGTACTCCGATGGCTGATACAGCAACGTGGCGGAGCATATCAAATATAAGGCCCCAACCGCATGTGAATGAATGTCCTGCTGTCTGAAGCAGATTATTAAGCGTTTCTAAAGCCATTTTTTGAACCTCGCTGAAGGCTTTAGCAGATGTTTCTTGAAAGAGGCTTTCTTCGCTTGCTGGTGGGGTATAGTTGATACACTGACTGAGAGCTAATAGTAAACGGGTTTGGATGTTTTCATCTACTTGTTTATACTCTGAGATAACATAGTTTATGACGTCTGTTATAATGTCTGCAATTGTTTCACAACATTGGGTGCGAATGGATGATGGTGTCAATGGATAGTTGGCTGTTGCAATAAGATGTGTCATGATCAGGTCCCATACTCCTGGTGATTGGCTTTTTAGGCTAATGAGTCTATTCATATCTAAAGTTACAATGTATTGAAGTTTGTCTATGGCAAATGATCTAATATTATATATTTTCTTCAAGACCATCATTAGATTCATTTCTATTTCTGTTTATTTTACTTACTGTTCTTGATGACTTGTGAGAAAAGACAGATTCATCTGCACTAAATGGTACTCCACTAATCTCAGAACTGAGGCGACATAATGAGGCAGCGAGAGCTGTAAATGAATCATCATCCAATAATTTACTATTATCAAGCAATCGCTGGAACGATGCTCGGATAATAGCCACATGATCCGACTCTTTTATCTGGCTATTGATATCTTGTGCTAAGTAGATAACATGAATAAAAAAGAGAAATAATCATGATGGGAATCAGATAATTACCTGAGAGATTCAATCCTACTGTTGACGAATTTGTCATGGTTCTTCTCAGACTAGCTCCTCCTGATCCTCCTCCTGTTGCTACTGAACCTACTACACTAGTGCCTGAAGAGCTTTTAGGCGTAGGTCGATTGAATAACAAGAAATCAGCCAACTGTAAGGTTTCGAGAACAAGGTACCATGACGCGCCCAAGACATTACTCAAGAACATGACAATGTTCAGAAGTACTCGTAAGCTGTATAGGCTCTTCTCATTTAAAGTAATGTTGGCCAGTGCCTGTTGCTGCTGAGCAGATAATTCTGAAAAGGATACTGCTGATGTCTGTTGTAGAGATGATATGGTAGCTACGCTTGCTGTGCTACTTTTTGTATTGCTGTTAGTGATCAATCCTGAAGATAAAATAGGAATCATAGGTATCGCATTCTTGCATAGGTTGGTTAAAAATGCATCACGAGGCGTAACAAGGTCGAGAACGCCGCATACATTGGTGAAGTTTTGGTAAGATTTTAGCGTGGACTGGAATAACTCTTCATCAAGGTTGGCTGTTAGGTAAAATGACATGGCAGCTAAGAGTCCGGGCCAAGCGACATTGGCCATTTCAGTAACAAGATCAAGATCGTTTTTGATGGGATCATCATCCAGGATCAGCTTGGTTGATCCAGGAGAAAAGCGAGAGAGGGCAAAACCAGCTAGTCCATCAGCAATTGAATTTAAACATTGTAAAGAAAGATAAAAGATGTACGTCTCTGGTATAGTAGGTGGTTCTGTTTTGTCTAACTGGTCAATGCTATTTAAGAATAGTTAACATGGACCAATAAAAGCATAGCTTTTAAAAGAAACTAACCATTGAATACGCATAGTAGAAGACATGGCGCTCAATCCTTCTGGCGTTGCTGATGTCGACGTACTCTGGGACACATAGGTTGAATATCCTACATGACCCGACCCTGCATCAATACTGTCTCTTCCTGTCTGATTCGCACCAATAGTTTGAGGCTTTTCTGTTGCTATACGCCCAAAGTTGGTGATCATGCCTTGAAAGACATTTGTGGAACTAGCAGGTCGGTCGTACCAGCTGTAAATGGATCTTGTTAATGCAGCATCGCTGCATACTCCCTTAAATACCTCCATAGCCAATACTCTCAACCAAAGTGGATTCTCTGGTTCTAATATCTTCACAAACATGGACAAGAATACTTCACATTCCATAATCAAGATTTGACTAAACTGTTTGATCAAAATATTGACGACTCTTGTTAATCTCATCGTTTGGGAGAATTCACTCTTTTCCGAAAAGTTTTTGATAAACATCGGGCAGACTCGTTCTTTCAGAATGGAGTTTAACTCCTTGTGCTATATTAAAAAAAGGGGGGGTTAGAGAGTTGTACGTTTATGATCGAATACTGTCATACCTCCCGAAAGAGTGCATAGTGGTTAGTTAATACGCTTTCGATCAACTCTAATCCAAATGTCTTTGATAGGTGGTTCAATCGAAGATATTCTGGTGGATCCCCGTTTGTTAATAAACATAAATCTTGGAATAAATAATACGCATCCTTGGCGCATGGATGTAATTTAATCTTTTCTCCTGAGCTTATTTCTATTTCATGCGTTGCATCTGATTGTTGTAAGCCGAGTGAATCCTCTTTGGTTACCTTATCAAATACGAATATGACAAGTTGACGTAGTGTTGCTACTGCTGTATTGTTGACTACCATAGCTTTCGAGTCTTGTAATCGAAAACAGATGAGGAGTGCCTAATATGATAATGTAAGTGTGGCTGTTGAGTAAATTCTTTTTGTTTTGTTTGTTACTTCTGCCAAAATATCATCATGAACACTTCTATAATTGTTCAATAATGGCAAAACTGTTTGTAATATTTTAAGTTGAATATCTACTCCATGCACACTTATATCTGTCAAGGTACGCAGGATTGTCCTGACGGAGGTCTATCATAAAGTCAGCATATGTTCATTCTTTCCTTCTGTCTCTTTTTACCTCTGGTATAGCATGAAATGATATAAGCTTTTGTATGCATCCAATCGCAATGGTAATCAGCTTTACTTGCTTTGTTTCGCATGCCAGCACGAATGGCCTTAAAGCGTCGTCAGTTTTCGCCAACTCTAAAAACGAACGTGTTTAGTTTAAGCAGTGACTTTTTCATAATGACTAACCATTAGCAATACTGTATCCAGGCCTCTCTTTGAAGCTTCTTAATATGACACCAAGTCTTTCTGCTGCCTGTAAAATTGTGTGTTAATATGATGTCAGTAACCTTCTTCTTCTTTGCTTACTTCTTTAATTTCTGGATGCTTTCTTCTAGCTTCGCTTGAAAGGGTCAAAAGTTCTGTTTGCAAGAACGCTGTAAGACCACTCATAGCGGTTGTTTTGGTATAAAAAAAAAAGGCAAAACAAAATGATGAGCACTGCCCTCTAATGAAGAGCCAAGTTTAGTGAACTGGAAAATGCACGTCGTAGTTTTAAAATTTGATGCTGTCCAAAAATGAAAGCACTTCACGACTTTGTTACTTGGCATTTTTACGTACAAAAAAAAAAATACCCACTTTACCAAATCTTGGTTTGAAAAGGCAACTTTATGGAATTGACGATATTGTGGAGTTGCTGAGAGATTAGTAGTCAGCGAAGGTCTTGTTGTTTTCTTTCTGTAAGGCTGGAGACGAACATCTACGGTCACTGATGTCTGCATCGTCTTTGCAAAGGCTTAGTACACGAACACACATTGGACTTCCTTACCATCCAGAGGAATTCGTCAACGAACCTTATGAATGTGTTACATATTACTAACTCTCTTTCCATACATATATGTATATGTATACCGAACTTTAAACAAATTATCTGGTCTGTGCCCTTGTTTTTGTTTAAACATTCCAATACGATGGCAATCCACATTGCTCAGCTATGAACTTATCTTCCGAGAGGTACATTATGCCGTTTTCCATTCCAAGCATCTATTGCTAAGTAAAAAGGAAGGCAACAGAAACGACAACTAGCCATTATAAATAGATTCTTAGAGGATACGGTGGACATTACGGATGAGAATCCTGAATTCAAAAAAAAACTGTTATCTGGTTATAGACAATGCCTTTACCTTTATCCCTCTTCCTACTCCCCAAAATTAAAACCCTCTATCGAAGCAATTTTCGTCCTAGGTAAAAGATGCACTCAAGAAGGAAGCATTGCTGGACTCTGAAATACTTTCTTCAAGAACATTCGAAGTTTGCGATACGATTAATCACATGAATCTCCATGAATGATATGCCAATCTTCCTCCAGCTTTGAAGATTGTTAATTGAAGCTCTGTTTAGTTTTTTTTTTTTTTTTTTTTTTTTTTTTTTTTTTTTTTTTCCTAATATCTTATACACCGAATTGACTATTT